TCAATAAAATATTAAAGTCTTCCAGTCCGTGACTTTTCCTGAAAGTGTGTTATGTAGCACCCTATGTTGTTAAAAATGGTCAATATGAAGTCAGATTGAAGAAATCGCCCCAAAAATTGCCATTTATACCTATTTCCGCCCAGCGGGTCATATTGACCCCACCCCTTTTCATATAAACATGACGTGTTGCTATAGCAACGCCTTTTGTCTACTGCGGTTCCTTATAGATTGAGAGATAGATTGAGAGAGAGATAGATGGATAGATATATTGATAGATAGTTATCTAGAGAGAGAGAGAGAGATAGAGACAGTCTGTAGTGAAGGAGTGCGCTCCCGCTCACGGGAGACTGCTCGCGCTGCGATCCGCAGCAAACAGCTGTGGGGCGAGTTGAAAGTACGTTATGCTGGCCGCGGTGTCTAAATAATGCTTCCGGGCCAGCGGGCCATTTATAATGTCGAGCCCTGTATGAAAAGCTGAGAGTCCACAGATTATATTGGTATACGTTTCATCCCTGTGCGATCAAAACTCACTGTTCAATAAAAGAACATTTTACCTTGAAAATCAATGCATTCTAATAGCGGGTCAATTTGACCCAGGTGGCGGTTTTAGGTATAAAAAATCTCTGGCGGTTCTAGTGTTAAGAAGGTCCACAGCAACGACAACATGAAACACCCTTTAATTTACTGCAACGACATGTCGGGAAACCCCCTCAAGGGGGCCCCATGCATAGAGCGCCAAGAAACTGCTTCTTAATTTCAGTTTCGTTTCTCCGCTCGGGGGACGACGACTTTACTGGCATTGATCCGGACCAGTGACCTTGTATAAAGTTCACAACTGGACCTTTAATAAAAAAGTTTGAGTACCCCTGGTCTAGAGCATGGATGTATAATAAGAACTGGATACAGCGTGGGAGGCGGGGCCTCATTCATTCCTATGAGAGTTGCTCATTCGCGCATGATGATAAAATGGCCCAACTTTTGAGAGAGAGAAACGTCACAGATTACCCGGCATGCCTGAGAAGTACCCGTATGTGCGCTCATAGCGCATGCGCAACTTTAACCATGCCCCCCAAAATGCTCGTTCACATCAAGCACGTCAATTTGCGTACACGTAACAGCACCGCACGTTCATGACAGCATGGTAATGGTTTGTTATTATGATAGATTTGATATTAACGAGGCGGCAGTTAGCAGCTAGCTTACCGTTGTCATACTTTATATATCTTAGCATATTAATACAACACACTGTTCATACTAGGCTAGGCTACTGTGTATATAGTGTATTCATACCCCTCACTGTTTATTCATCATTCAATTCATTCTATATTTTATTCTGTAGATTGTGTACATTACTTTTCACTTTACTGCTTTATGCACTCCTGGTTAGAAGCTAAACTGCATTTCGTTGTCTCAGTACCTGTAATCTGTGCAATAACAATAAAGTTGAATCTAATCTTGAGCAGGAACAAATGTATTTACTTAGTACATATCTGACATTAACGATTAAACACATTTGTCCATTCTTTATCAATCAATCAATCAATCAATGTTTATTTATATAGCCCAATATCACAAATGTTACAAAAAACCGAGAGAAGAAGAAGAAGAAGAAGAAGCCGACTCCGAGCTGTCCGACTTCAGGCGAGCTTTTTGAGACCTCCCCCGGCTGCGATCGGCTATTCTCGTCTACTTTCGAGGCGAGCCGCAGCTCGTCTCAAACAAGCCTATCGACTCTCTCCCCATTTTCAAATCACGTCTCAAAACATATCTCTTCACACTCGCATATCCACCCTGATCATTATCCATCACACATCCTCTGTTTTATTTGTCTTATTTTTTATATACTGCATTGTCTTGTTTAGGTTTCTTATGCTGGTGTTATGTATTGTGTATCTTGTTTTTTGTGTGTTTGTACGGCGACCTTGAGAGCCTTGAAACGCGCCTATATAAAATAAATGAATTATTATTATTAAAAATGTCCAATCACATTAAAACAAGAATTTATGCCAGTCGTACATTTTCATTCAGCACTAACTAGTACTTACTTGGGTGTACATTCAAAAGAGGTTACGATCCACCACGGGTCGATGAGCGCTCCGCTGCAGGACACTCCTCCCCCGTGCAGATACACCTGCCAGGGTCTGGAGTGAGGCTGGCATACCTTGAAGTCCTCCAGAGGAGACGCTCCTGTAACACATCAAGACCACAGAGAAACTGAACATCTACTCCAATGTTAATCTCTTTTATTTTACACACAACATAGTAAATATCTACCTGCGAGCCCCAAAGCAACCCCCAGTAGGAACAGATGCATGTTGTTTTTGTTGAGTTAGTCTGTATCTCTGACAGTGTGAGATCAGTCTGGTGTATTTATATCTACACACCTTTTTGAGGACAGTAGGAGGAACACACTGCTTTATTACTAACCAGCATAATTTCCAGTACAACCTTATCAGAGACAATTTGTACACGTCCGGTTAACACTATGTTATAGTGACACACCTTGTTTATAAGGAAGAAGAAAGACCCGTACTCATGGTACATAAAATAAATCGATTAGCCATAATAGATTGCATTTCACATTTTGGTGAAGTTCATTTCTTCTTAATCGCAAAAATCTGCTGTGCACAGATTCTTTTAGCTTTTTGGGATGTATTAAAGTTGTTATGGATAGTCTGTGCTAAGTAAGTGCACTTTATAATGAATGATTGTGTCATAGATACATGAACAAAGCTTTGTTGCACCACAAGTAGTAATGATGAAGAAGATAAGAGTGGAGATATTATACCCACTGCTGTTATAAAGTTAATATTTTACCATGATGCAATATTAAAGGCTTGTCTGAAAATATCACAGATTGCAAAGCTCTGCTGCTCTTTTGGGAAACCATAATATTTGATAATAGTATTCTCTTCCCCCCTCAACTGTTTAGGAAAATGTTTTCTTCCACTTTATAAATAATGACTTCTTGAATTATTATTCAGGCCAACATTTCACACGTTCAGTATTTTTATTGACTGAAGTACAAATGATGGTACTCAGATAGACCCTATCTATCTATCTATCTATCTATCTATCTACCTATCTATCTATCTATCTATCTATCTATCTATCTAGCTAGTCTATCTGATCTAGCGAGCTATCTAGCGAGCGATCGAGCGAGCTATCTAGCGAGCGAGCGAGCGAGCGAGCGCGAGCGAGCGAGCGAGCGAGCGAGCTGAGCGAGCGAGCGAGCGAGCGAGCGAGCGCGAGCGAGCGAGCGAGCGAGCGAGCGAGCGAGCGAGCGAGCGAGCGAGCGAGCGAGCGAGCGAGCTGAGCGAGCGAGCGAGCTAGCGAGAGCGAGCGAGCGAGCGATCGAGCGAGCGATGAGCGAGAGCGTAGCGAGCGAGCGACGAGCGAGCGAGCGATCTATCTATCTATCTATCTATCTATCTATCTATCTATCTATCTATCTATCTATCTTTATATAATATATCAAAAACTGTCCATAATCAAAGACTAATTTCCCTTCAGGTTGATAGCAAGCCACCCCAGATATTCATTCAGAGAATATTAGGACATTCTGATGTAGAGTTTCAAATAAAAGATCTTTGAAATCTCATAAATGAGTTATCTACATCGAAACAGCACATCAGAAAGTCCTTAATATGTTGATGTAAAATAGAGGGGACGTTCGCTCTTATATGAAATTTCAAAGATCAGAATGACCTGATACCTACCTTCCTAAAGATTCAGGTATACCAACAAATATTATTGTATACACACACTTCAAGTACCATCCATTTTAAGTGGGTAAGCTCTTAAAGGTGGGGTAGGTACGTTTGAGAAACCGGCTCGAGATACACTTTTTGTTATATTCCATGGAATGCTCTTAACATTCCGATAGCAATGAATATCTTAAGTGCTTTGACAAAAAATCCATACAAAAATGTCATCTGTGGAAGCCGTAGTACTGTAAAAAGCACGACCAATCATTTTAGCCGGTCCGGCTAAAATAACTGGATGGCCTACCTGCCTGTCAGCCTTCCATCTGTGCACAAACTTATCTCGTGCCCTGATTGGTCATGTGCGCGTTCGTGTGTGTTGGAGGAGGGGCTCTGTAAGGAAGTGGCAGATTTTTTCCGGCTGTGTATTTTCAAATTCTAGCGCACTCGAGCTGGTTTCTCCAAAATGACCTACCCCACCTTTAAAGTGTTAATTAATTATTAGAGACATAAATGCTCCCGAATCAAAACTGATAATATAATCAAATTAAACACATTTTGTAAAAAGCCAGACATGTTTAATGTTCTTCTCTTGCTGTATTATTTATGTGTGAATTTCTCTCTGTTTTGCAGCAGCTGCAGATGCCCTCAAATGAAATAACCTTAGTGTCAAAGCCAGATGGGATGGCAGTCAGCTGTTGATCAAAAACATTTTACACAAATACTGATATCAAGCAAACAGTACAATTTATCTCACTTTGATTTACATAACTACAGGGTCACTACACTATATCTGAATGATGATTATTAAATGAATTGTAAAGTAACAGTAGTAATGGTTTTTGTCCTATGTCTGTCTGAAACCATCATGTGGGGGAACAAATGAAAAAGATGGTGTTTTTAATCCTTTGTTGGTGTTGGTTGTAGCTTCAGACAAGCCACATGTTGCAGATGTATGCACTAATTAAAACATCACAGCAGTCCTGCATCACTACTTGTCAGAATCAACAGAAAGAAACCTCTCAGTCTTTGCTGTTTATGCATCTCTGTCAGTTTCTCCGCGCTCACATTTTACATGTTGTTCCTTTTCATCCATTATTAATTTGCAACACAAGCGTCTGTTCTGGTGCGGCCTCGGCTGATAAAAGCACTCATTGCAGATTTATTCAGACAAAATCACGTGATCCTTTCCATCAGTGAGATCAAAAGGAAAAGCCAGAGTGGGATATGAGAAATATGCACAATTTAAAACAGCAAAACAGTAAACCTAATTATCATTTATCCACAGGAGACACCAGTTTGTGTTGTATAAATATTTTATTTCAAGATATGACACTTTTTCAGAGGTGAAATAACTGAGAAGAAACCCATAGGTGGCGATATATTGTTGAATTATACGTGTTTGTTTTCCACCCAGGGAAAATGCTGTTGGTACAAGTTGACTCCAGATGCTCCAACTGGTTCTGTTCTTGTTCTTCTGTGCAAGCTGTTAGTTGTTTTCTCAAATGATTACATTCCTCTTTTGGTGGTTATCATCATATAGCAGCAGTACAGTGGCCCGAGTAAGCGCCACAGAGAGCAGGAAGTCAATTTTTGTACGTTTTTAGGCTTGTTTGAGATGTGAAAAAGCTTAAAATGTCAGATGAGGTTTTGACCTTTCTTGTGGAAAGTCCTCATGCTGTCAGAAATGCTACATGAGAAATCAGTTTCTGTTTACTTCTGGTACAGGCCGTGGTAAATCTGGTCTTGCATGATTCCAGCGTAGGTGGTCACGACGTTGGTGGTTTCAGTGTAAAGGGTCCTGTGGGAAACACAGTAACAGTTAGTTAACAGTTTTAACACACATGCCTGTACTTTCTACTTCTTACATTTTCAAAACAGGCTGGTTACTTTAGTTTGAATCTGCGTTTGGTGGGGTGATCATTATTATTTAGAGTCATTGGGTGCCTATTGATTTTAACACGATCCGTGTATTCGTCATTTCCTGGTCTTCTCTAAAGAAGAGGGACCAATGAAAACTCGGCTCGATTATTGTTCTATTTATATAAAGGGAGGTCAGTTACTCTATAAAACAGTTGGTACTATAGTTATGGGTACTTTTTACTTGAGTACATTTCGAGGCCCATACTTCTTTACTTTTACTTGAGTAAAGAAGTTTAGTCAGTACTTCTACTTTTACCAGAGTATTATTAAACACAAGTATCTGTACTTCTACTTGAGTAAAGGATGTGTGTACTTTTGCCATCTCTGCATTTAAAGGTCACCTATTGTGCAAAATCCACTTTTTCATGTCTTTTCTACATCAACATGTGTCCCCTCTGTGTAAAGAGATTCTGAAAGTTTCAGGAAGAAAGATTTGCTCACTTTTTGTCCTGATCCATTTATATAAAAACCTGTCTGAAAATGACTTTCACTTTATGATGTCATAACGATTTTTTGGCTTGTGTAACCATTAGCCAATAACCAACCAAGGTAACCCCCCCCCTTATCACCTGAATCTCCTCCTAGAGCACCATTGTGTTCTTTTTAATCTCTCTCAGAGGGGCGTGGGGAGTGGCTCCTTATTTTCATCTAAAGTAACAGAGAATCAGCACTTTTGAAACAGGGCTCAAACAGAGGGGATTATGGGATGCTGCAATGATCTGTTTGGTATTTCGAGCCAAACACTTCAGAGACATGTTCTGTATATATCTGAGACCTATATGGCTGAAAAACAGTATAATAGGGGACCTTTAAGATCTCTTACTTTGCTTTCTCCTCCAGCTTCATGCCCTTGATGTTCTCCAGGTATTCACTGGCTGTGTTGACAGCGTCGGAATAGTAGGTCTTGACGGAGTCTGTGAACTTGGCCAGACTGCCCTGCTCCTCCACTACCTCCGGCACCACCTCCGCCACCACCTCTGGCACCACCTCCACCTCTGGCACCACCTCCGGCACCACCTCCGGCACCACCTCCACCTCCGGCACCACCTCCGGCACCACCTCCACCTCCGGCACCACCTCCGCCTCTACCTCCGGCACCACCTCCGGCACCACCTCCTCCACCACTCCCTCAGTGTCCTCAGCCTGCCTCTTCACACGGAAGCTCTCAGCGTCTGCACAAAACAGAGGTGTCAAAGGGTGCCACATTTCATCAGGGAAGAAATACATCAATAACCTGTGTCACAGGCTCCTCCAACAGTGCAACACAATAACACAGATAATAGTACAAGTAAATAAATGAATAAAATATAATATAATATAAATAGTGCAGAATAGTCTATATATACAAGTAATTGGAATATTGATATATATAAGTTGCAAACAGATGAATGTTATGGATGTTCTTTCAAAAGTTCAGGTGTTCAACAGTCTTATGGCCTGTGGGATGAAACTGTCCATATTATCCATCTCAGATTCATCCTATTCTGACTTTAATTTAAAGATCTGATAAAAGGCTTACTGGGAGCAAGGAGTGCAACCAGCACGGTGATGACCAACAGCTTATTCATGGTGTCACTCGTAGCTGTGAGGGGAGAAGAAACGGGGTAAATCTTACAGCACTTTATCCACTAGGGTGAGACATTGTCATACATTTATCCATGTGTGTAATTAAGACTGTCTTTGAATGAAGCATCTTTTTCACTCTTCTAGCATAAGAATACAAGTTTTTTCCCATTAAAATCCTGTTGAACATGCATCTTATTCCTAAAACACTCAGTTGCCTTCAAAAATGTTCTCATATCTAACACAACATGCATGCTTTTCCAATACAGTTGCAGTCTATCCAATGTTTGAAGTGAAGTCAAAGTGTGGTTACTTACTGTATTCCTCTCCAGAAAACTGAGTAATAGGCTCCACTGTCCCAGCCTGTTTATATAGGAGCGTGAACGTGTCAACTTGTCGCTCCCGGAGCCAAAGTACACTCTGGGATAGATAAACGTGCGCGGTTGTCCGGAGTGTGTTTCTGGGACTTTGTGTGCCATTGTGTGTCTTGATTAATCAGACATCTGTGTTAACACAAGGATGTGAATAAAAGCATAGAAAGAGGCTTGAAACATAATCAAAAGCCACTGATTGGGTCTTATGAGCAAAGGGCCTGAAGGGGGGGGGGAGGTGGGGGGGGATCATCAGCTTTCATTTATTTTCATTTAATCGTTTATTTGACGAGGGACAGTGCACATTGATGAACATTTAAAACAAATAATGCTTTAAAAACGTAAACATGCCGGATTTTAGCTTTGAGCTAGTTTCCATCCGTAGTACCTCACATACAACATTTAAGAACATGACATTTATATACATAGCATATAATAAATACATGATATGCAGAAAGAGCATGAGCAGCATATAAGCATTTACCACATGGCAATACAATATAGCAGCTACGACATATAAAGTGCAGGAGAAGATAAAAGAGATACATAAAGTGCCAGAGGAGATACCCCTGTGTTAAAGTGCATCTTGCGGTGATTGCACGTCTGTTTGTTTCTCAACCATTCTTTGAGTTGACCTTTAAAACTATTCAAAGTGGGACAATCCCGTATCTCAGTTGGGAGGCTATTCCACAATGAGCTGATGATGACAATTGATAGAAAATGTTGACAGAAAGTGGCCCGTCTACGGTGGACTTCACAGTCTCCTCTGGTTTCTAACCTAGTGCAGCGTCCAGTGTATTTTCTGTGGATGAATTCTGGGGATGAATGCCCCCCCGCCAGTCCATGTAAAAATGTATTTAAAAAACACATACTTTTAAAAGACTTAAAATTGTCAAAACTCAAGAAATTGTGTTTTTCAAGGATGGTACAGTGGTGGTATGAATTTAGCTTTCTGTCAAACACCTTGATAGCTCTCTTGTATAGCTGTTCTATAAGTTTCAGGTTCCAAGTCACTGTGTGTGATGCAAACTTTGAATTCACTCAGATCAAATATTTCACATTGATTGCGTTAGTTCATCAAAGCAGCTTACACCTTGCCCTGTCAACAACCTCAGTGAGGAACTCTTGTGAGTTGCATAATGGTTACAATAGTCCTAAGTCCTATTAAGACGACCCTGAGTCTAAACTGTTGAACACGTCATCCTGCGACTTCAGGTTATGAAATATGTAGGCCAGATAGATTATCTTTATGTGTCTGCAGTTAAAAGACTCTGTTTCCTATCAGTGGGTTTTCTTAATGTAAAAACAACTGTTTGACCACATGATTTGTTAGAAAAGGGCGCCTAAAATGTTATGTTTTATATTACTATTATTTTTAATTCTGCTTGTGGTGTGGTCGTACAACTCTAATTTCGTTTTTAATAATTATAATACCTTGTTTTTCACACCATAACCAAAAAAAGAATTAATTTAATTTAATCTTTTATAGATTTTTCTGTTTTTTAGCCTTGAGGTTGGTCGATATTGTTGGCTGTTGTTAAAGGTGGAGTCATAGGTTTTGGAAACGATTGTAGATATTTCAACTGAACTCTCAGTTCAAATACAAATAAATAGATTTACCATCTCTGATGCTTCTCTCTTTGTACATCCTTGGCCTTTACCCCTGTTCTGTGTAGGAGTATTACGCCACCTGTAGCTGATTGGCTGATATAGAGAGTTGTCTAGCTCCGTCTGGCTTCATTTGTTTCATATTTCCAGAGCTAGGTCTCCAGTATTTTTAATTGTTCGTAGCACACTCAAACGAAAAGACAGTGGGACGTGAGGAAATATTATCTGAATTTGTCAAAGTGTATTGCATTTGATTTGATCACTTCACTTACAGTATGCCGTTTGCCGCAAAACATTTGTTCACAATGTAGTTCCAAAAAAGCAGACATTGTTTTATATACAGACAATGTTGGAAAGAAACTAAGTACATTTACTCAAGTTCTTCACTTAAGTACATTTTTTAAGGGTACTTGTATTTTACTTGAGTATTTTTATTTTATTCTACTACACACTTATAATCCACAAAAAATGTGGAAGAAAATATTGTGCTTTTTACTCACTCACACAATTTATTTGACAAGGTTTGCTTCTTGTGACTTTGAAAGTTCATTTTAAGAATCTCTAAAGTCTCTAAAGGTATCCCCAACAGATACAGATGATGTCCATATTACACAATGGATCGTTAATTAGAATCCAGCAATATAATATTAAGATAAGATATTATTCTTAAAAAAGGCCAATCTGCATAATGAGTACTTTTCAACAACTGTTTGACCACATGATTTGTTAGAAAAGGGCGCCTAAAATGTTATGTTTTATATTACTATTATTTTTAATTGTGCTTGTGGTGTGGTCGTACAACTCTAATTTCGTTTTTATTAATTATAATACCTTGTTTTTCACACCATAACCAAAACATTTTTTTATTTCATATAATAGATATTATTCTTAAAAAAGACCAATCTGCATAATGAGTACTTTTCAGTTTTGGTACTTTAAGTTCATTTTCATTGTTATACTTTTGTACTTAAGTAACATTCGAATGCCAGACTCTTGCTTGTCACAGAGTATTTCTACACCGTGATATTTTTACTTGAATAAAATATCTGAGTACTTCTTCCACCTCTGGACCACAAGTTTACAAAAGTCTTATATAATTTGTCTGTGAATTAAGAACATTTTTTTATCCTCTAATCAACAAACTTCCAAACCAGCATTGTTCTCTTTATTGCATCTCTTATTACAAAGACAGTGAAGTCTCAGCTTTGATCTCACGTTTTGGGTTTTAAGACCTCATTTTCTCTGTGAAGTCTACGTGTTGATCCAGGCCTGAGTAAACATGTCATGTTTGCCGTGGACCTGGGGACCCGGGGCGCTTTGAGGACAGCTGACAGTGGGATTCAAACTGTTCGAGAGATTGTGGTTTTGATTGAATCCAGCTCATTTAATGCTGTGATGAATGTACTCCGCTACGGTTGATATTAAGCTCCAAAATGACACTGCCGACAATGACAGTGTGTGGTGTCATGTCTTGAAATCTGTAGGGATATATCTATATCCAATAAAAAAATGGTCTGAGACATGAGATGAAAAATAAGAATGAGTTCATTCTGCTGCTCTCACTAAACAGGCCATTCACTGTAATCACACTGATCAATTGTCTTCAACACTTTCTTCCTATGTTAATAATAATCTGTGTGGTTTTGTTGTTTGATCATAAACATGTTGCTGATTTTCAAAATTCTGGAATCACAGTTTGCCTAAATTTGCCCAAAACTGAGCCTGAGCTACCTGTTCGAAATACAGTTCAAAGTGTGAGACAACTTTATCTCATCATTCATTGTATATGACAGTACCAATAGTATCGAACTGGCAGCTGATGATATAAACAAAACAGCTCCATAATGTTTGATTGAATGATCTTCATGTATGTAGCAATATATGTAATTGTTTCATTTGAAATAAAATGCATAGTACAACCCCGTGATTAGTGGAGTCTAAAACAATTCTTCTACTCTTAAAATAATATATTATAGCTCACGCCACAAACTAGGGTTCGGTATTGAAAACCATTTTGCTCTGTATCTGAACTATGTTAAAATGCTTCGTCCCTATGAACAAAATACATGATATTCAAAGTGAAGCTGTATGATATCAACTGTGAAAGTAAACGTTGCATGTCATGATGAAGAAGCACACTTTGCATAGTTTCCAGTTCATTTTAATGAACACACTCACACATATGCATACACAGTCAGACAGACACGTTGGTCAGTGTATCAAACACAAAATACTTTACATGCACAGTTGACATAGGGGATGTTCGCCTTGTTTGAAACACAAAAAGATAGTATTTTTTTTGCATTGTGCATTGCTCTTCTCAGCCTAAACGTGTGTTTGTTTCTATGATCTATCATCTCTAACAGGCTGCTGACACGAGGCTAGCTGCAGTTGGTCTTCTTTACTCTGCGGGCAAGTATTTGTCCAGGAAGACCTTGATGTTGTCGATGGCTTCGCTCAGCTGGTTTCCAACTTGGGGGCGCACGTGGTGTTCGTACAGACCCAGTAGTCCGGAACGGGCCTCGTCCACAATGGGAGATACCCCCTGTGCCAAGGCACTGCAAGTCAGGGAAGACATATTATTTAAAGAAAACTCATAAGAAGAGACATTCAGTATCTTAGTAGAGAAATCTCATTTTGGAATTCACTGCATATTTGTAGTGGATATGGATTTTAAACTAAAAGCAGTACAGAAAAGCTGTCCTTTTTTTGGTTAATAATGCAGGGTCTTCACAGGAAGCAAATTCCTTGTTGAAAACTTACGTGGCAACGTTAACGACGGCTTGAAACTCGGGCTTGGTCTGCAGGACCTCGATGTAGTCCTTGGCAGCCTGGCCACGCTCACTGGTTCCGGCATTCTCCACCATGGGAGCAGCGACAGCCTGCACTTTGCTGAAAGCGTTCAGCAGCCTCTGGTAGAAGACAGATCTCATGGCATCATACTTGTCAACAAGTTCCTGGGATGGTTGGGCAACCTCACACAGGCTCATGGAGACTGGAAGGAAATCAGAATGGTTGGACTGTTATGATAGGACCAGTGTTGCCAAAATCAAAACCAGATGAATTTAAGTCAAAAGAGCATCAAGAGATACTAAGTTGAAAAGTATATTCAGGAATCCTGCTTTGGAGGAACTATCGAAGAACCAACGAAGAGCTGCTTTGCATATCTTGGCTTTTCCCTTTTTGGCAATTCAATGACAGATTTCTTTGACTATTCAGTGTGTTGTTTTAAAAATCAATCTTTATCTTGCATGTACAGATAAATCAGAGCAGCAGCAAGCCATGCAAAAGTGTCTTTTTAAGTACTGCAACACAACACAATTACATGCACAATGCAAGAAAAGCAGAAGCATTTTCATCGCTTCAAATCTTTCTCTGTGTTTTAGTTGATATGTTCTACTTTACATGGTCACATAGTGGTTAAGCTTCAGTTAAAACATCGAATCCATACACTACAATTCTTCAGATCACATTGGTATTTGTGCCTTACCCTGCAGAGCCAGGATCAGTGCCAAAGTGTATTTTGCATTCATGTCTGAAACAAAAGAGAAAAATAAAACAATTAACTCTGTTTTGTCAATCAATATAAAACTGAATGCAAAAGTCAGATACCTAAATGTAGTACAGAATAAAAGCTGCAGTAAAAAGAGACGTTACCTGCGGTTGGGTTGGATGTACAAGTCCAAGAAGTGACAGTGTTCTCTGAAAGCGAGTTGTCTGTAACTGGGAGCTCACATCTGGACAGGATAATATAGGGGGGGACTGCAAACAAACGTCATCTGATGAGCATACACACACCTACACACACATGCGTGCACATGAGCACTCACACAAACACACATGTTCACCTACACAAAGTCCATTGTACATGATATTCCCCTTAAAAATCATATGTTGAAATATGAGTCAGTGGTTATGCAATGTTTCTCCAGTGTACGTTCATGTGTTCATGTGGCATGCACTTGGAGCCCTGCTGATAATACTGCATTAGTGGAGTGTTTGCGAAACCTCATGGTGCATGTGAGTCAAAATCGACGAAACACTTTTAAGGCAGCTTATGTATTGTTGCCAGCTGCAAAGAAATATATTTTTTAGTAAATTAACTCGAGCTAACCAACATTTTTTCACTTTAAAATGCCTGCTCAGATATAGATCAGAGTGAAATGGTCAGCAGGTCAATCAACCAGGACAGGTCTAGACACACTGTACTGTACCCAGAGCAATGCATGCTGGGATTACTGCCTTCACCTTTCACCTTAATTCCCTGAAATCGACTCCATGCAGAGTGATTTTAGGGACCGTTTTTATAATGGTTGATAGCTTTTTTATTCTGTATTTATTTATTACCTCTCTTTCTTTGCATATTTTTCCAGAACATTAAATCCTGCGACTTTAAATAAGTGCAATAAAACCATAACAAACAAACATCTGCAGTTCATTCACTTCAAGAAAGGCTTACATTCTTTGGTGCTGGTGCATTAGCTTTAAATGGGCTATACCTTTTAAATGCTACATTTATGTTTTGTGTAATGGCCAAGGTGCATTTTTGCATGACAAACTGTGTCCATACAGCACAATATACTCTTAAACAACATGTCTATATTGGACAGAACCAAATCTGTTCAGGATCAAGTGGTAAGAAATACAAATTCGTAATGTGGTAAGAATATTCATTTATTGCCAGATATTAGTTAGTTTTCCCGGGGTATCCATTGGATTAACTGCTTGCTCAATGGTTGTCTGGATCTTCTCCCACACGGAGCTCTTGACGCTAGAGGCCCATTGAAAGAAGCTGTCAGTCACTGGTTGGATGTGGTCTTCGTAGTAAGCGTAAAGAAAGCCCAGCAGTGGACGCCCATAACCCTGGATATTAGCGTTGACTTCCCTATGAGATGCACGAGTACACAGAGACCATGAAAAATGTTAACAATTCAGATATTATCTTTAAAATGGGTCCAAATTGCTTGCATTCATGACGGTGAGAGTGAGGATGATACCTGGCTTTCTGCGTCAGCCACTCCAGTAATCCTGGAGGGTTGGGTTGTCTTGGAGCCTTTGTCTCTACCAAAAGAGGTCCACATGCTGCAGAGGAGGATGTTTGTCAGTGCGGGAGGACAAGCTCAGAAATAAAAGGACTGAATGACTAGAAGAATTACTTTTAAAGTCATACCTTGCATTAGTAAGATGAGACCGAACACAAGCTCTTTGGTATGCATCTGTCATGAGGAACACAACCGTCAGAAGGCGTAATATAATTTCAATAATGCTGAAATGGTCAAGTTCAAATCTCAATCTTTATTTATTTATATAGCACATTGAAACAACCTCAAATAACATGTCACAACTACAAACGTTTTGTTATGAGCACATTATGTTAAAAAAGGTTTGCTCCTTTTTAAGCAACAAAACGTCAATTTATCAAATTGAATTCCCGATTTTAACGCTAATTGTTCGAATAATCATCGCAGCAAAGTACAAATGAGTGACAAAGTGTATCTTTACCTTTCCTTTGGCTCTGGTCAACAGAAGTTGAATCATACAAGTGCTATCAAGCCATTTTATGTGTATTAGGTCACCGCAACCGCATGTACGTTGGCCAGAGCGAATAATAATTCAACACGTTGTTTTTGTCTTTTTATTGACAGAATCTGAGAGATAGCAAAGCAACACTGAAGTGTTTCCAACAAACGCAAAGGGATTTATCTTTGTGTCTCTAAGACTGTAATCAAATAACAAAAAGCATTATTATATACATGCGAAGATAAATGGATTAAAAAAATGTAAAGAGAGAGAATTTAATTATGTAATCTTTTGCAAACATACATGATTTCATTGAAACCTAGATCACATACTTGCCATTGGTTCAGAGTGTCTCTTTTCACCGCTAAATGTTATTTGTGTTACAAAGTTAATGTGAACTCTTGGTGTCTTTTCAAGATCAACATTAGCTGAGTTCACTAACTGTCCGAGCGCCCTTTGGATCAGATATCTCAACACACTTATGTATACAGGCCAGTCAAAGTCTCTGTCTCTGATAAAAGTTTGTTTAGCCAAGCCAATGATCTGTTGGGCAGAGTCCACCTCAAAGTCAATGTAATCCTCTCATTACTCCGCTCTGTGCTCGCTGCGTGTTATGAATGAAAACAAATCAACACTAGTGTCGACATTAGAGTTCATAACTAGAATTACAAACCTGATCCCGCAGCTGTGTAAACAAATCTGAGTTTTGACCTGTTATTGGGTTGTGTGTTATGTTTTTGAACATCTGTGCTTTGCTGTACACTGCAAAAATGTAAAATCTTTCCAAGTATATTTGTCAAATGTCAGAATATGTCGTTACCCTTGATATAAGACTTAATAACTTAAGTCTTGTTTTTAGACAAGGCATCTTTTTAAGTCAAAGTCTCTTAAAAACATCTTATTTTATAGGAAATCTCCAACTAACATCAGAAAACTGTAAATGTCTAAACATTTCTGGCTTTTTTTGTTACAAATCCCCAAATTCTGGTCAAATATAGTTCAAAATAAGTTTCCCCAGCTAAATACAAGATCTCATTTATCTAATTATCCCATCTTTACTTCAAGAAATCTTACCAAGCTATTTTGTACTTGTTCTATTGACAGATTTGTTTACTTATTAAAAGCGAAAACACCTTGTTTTTATTATATATTTACTTGTTTTTGGAGAAGCATTTTTTCCAGTGTATATTTGTGAGTTTAAAAAGAGCATCTTTCCATTATGCAACAAATCATTTTAGAATGACAAACAAAAGTATATACACTTACATTTTAAAAATAATAATAACAATGAACATATATAGCTTCTTTCAGACTGAGTTACTTAACTGCTTTCACATGACTTATTAATATAAATACGGTATATGCACAGTCTGCCCCTCCATGTGAGGTTGGCCCAGACCCTAGGGGTCTTCACTGAAGACACACTTCTTCTCTCTGGCCTTCTAGTCAGAGCTGAGCATAACACCTGACATTTCTCTGTGTTTTGTCTTTATATTTCTGTTGTAAATTATTGTCTTTTCTATTTTTTTTTATTATGTTATTGTAGTGTGCTTTTATTACATGCATTTTGCTTTAATCAGTTTACACAGTCGATTTGTTACACCAAACGATCCACCATTTGAAGAGCAAACTTTTCTTAACAAGTCTATTCTCTGACCAAGAAGTCATTAAAACAAATTGACCCCAAAGGGATTTCAAGTAGATTTCCTCCCACTCATCTGATGCAATATGATCATAATCTGTGACCTCTGTTCTGCAGCTGCTGACCTCTATCACTCTGTTCTCTTCACAGGAACAGGATTCGTTGAACTGGGACAACTGGTGGATCATTAACCCGGCATAAACAGTGACTTTAGCCCGGGAGTTGTGAAATGCCTGAAAAGCAGCCATGTTGGCACTTGCCCTTTGGTACCAGATATTGACACAAATCAACTCTTACCTACCAGAAGCTTCTGTTGGTTAAGTAATCGGCTTCAGGGATGATATTGACTTTAGGATTAAGTAATCAAATTAATTATTAATCTAAGTTATTCATTATTTTAATTGGTCAAACGTTAAATCCTGTTGTGATCAGAAAGTGGACTGATGAATCTGTTTTTTAAGAATTCATGAGTTTTTTATCATATATGTCTCTAGATGTGACAAAATAAATTAACTTTTGCTACGGCTAATTTGCAAAGACTTCTACTTTATCAATATCCATTTACAGCTTTGGGTTGTCAACAAGAAAGTAATATCTTACATGTCAGCACTTTTCTCATAAAATGAAGAAACAAATCTCATTCATATTAGACTTTAATATCATTATAGATCAAATAATGATCTAGTGCCATACAAAACGTATGAATCTAGGTTTCATATAACACTGTCCTCTGATTACATGTCTAGGTGATTGACTGCAAGCCTGGAAACTGTTTACATCTGAATCCAGCCAAGGCCTCTTTTTATTTGTGATTATTCCAACTGTTTTTACATTGCCATTAGATTCGATGGTTTTCCCCAATTTGATAATCATTAACATTTGTGTTTGATAGCCTTTATATCATGTAAATATGGACTGTTTATTCAGTAATGTAAGAGTTTAGTTTAAAAACAGCTTTTATTCAAACAGCATGCTCTGTCTGTAAAAAGTAATATTTCAAATAAATACAGAAATAAATCTGACAAGTGTTTTGTGTTGTACGTCTGCCATAAGGTTTACAATGTCTAAAGATTAAAAATGTGTATCTATATAATTAGAAAACTGAGATCTTTTTCTAAAAATAATTGAGTCAGGTCATTTGAGTATAACCCTAGCCCCTCAATGAGTTGTTTCCCCTTATTATAAATGTAGAAATAAGTATATAACGATCTCATAAATCTGAAAACAATTAGAAATGACTTGCAGTGTTCTGTATAACATAAGGCGGCCACTCTGTGTGACACCACAACAACTGCTCATTTATTACACAGTTCAGTACATCTATTCCTATAGAAAACTACTAACGCTTAAACAGAAGATGTGAAAATTAAAGCACAGCTTTATTTTTTTTCCCAGTGTCTTTATTTGCAACTTTTCACAGTGGTTCTTCAAAAAGATTACATTGAAATTATTAAAAAAAAACATCTCTTTACAGAGAGGCAACATAGATATTGTGTCTGGTCAGCAGAGCAATGTGTGTCTTAGGATGGAGACAGGGACCATTTTACTGGGTGATTTCACTGATCTTCTGCTTCACTTTTTCCAACTGCTGCTCCAACCAGGCCCTGAGGAGGATACAAAAAAAACGAGCGTTACACGTGTGTGTGTGTGTGTTTGTGTGTGTGTGTGTGTGTGTGTGTGTGTGTGTGTGTGAGATCGCGTGTGTGTGAGAGAGAGAGAGCGCGTGCATGCGTGCGTGCATGCGTGCGTGCATGCGTGCGTGCATGCGTGCGTGCATGCGTGCGTGCGTGCTTACTGTGAGTTGGATACGATGTCGCTGTTCCTGATGACTTCTAAGGTTGCCTGGGCCTTGTCTGCCAGGTTCTTGCCCATCTCTGCCATCCCAGAGGCGGCCGCCTCCGCCTCCGCCTCCTGAGCCTCTGCAGGTTTGGAACAGAAACAGAACAAGTTACACAGCATGAACGGAAACGTAGCTTGGAGTTTATTTTCTTAAATTAACCCGAGACATACGTGTGAATGCGGCCAAAGCCAGCACCAGCATGGCAACTACGAGGTACAGTCTCATCTTGGCTGTGAATTTCTGAATGGGGGAAGAAAAAGACAGGCTACGGGTTATAAGAATTTCTTTTTTTTTTAAAGTGTAATGAGTCAAGGATACTAAATGACTCATTTCTTGTCTCAAAAAGCAGCGCATTCCCATCAGCACCACGGCGGCTGGATAGCTCCATTTACGTGCCGTTACGATGTAATGATTAACAACTACAAATACAATTATCCAGACTTAAGGTACAAAATTACACTTTTAACCATATTTACTCCGTGTAACACTCAGTCGTCAATATTAACAAACAAATCCCCTTAGGTATCAGCAAGGGTTTGCATAGAAACTTGAGGACGGTTTTTTAAAAGTGTTATCGTCCGTGTCCTGTAGTTTAGAAGCATGCAGCTATTTTTGTATGATTCTACCAGTGATGCAAATTAAATGTCAGACATACCTGTTGTTCGTCTCAGAGGAGGGAAACAATTGTGTTATTGAGAGTCTATGTGAGTTCCTCTTTATAAGCCCGCTGCGCTCTTGGAGGGTGACGCAGAAACAACAGACTTCAGTCACCATGTACACGTGGAGACCTTGCGGTGCCACTGCCCCCTTTGTTGACCAGCAGCGTGCAATTGCATTAAAAGATAGATGACTGATTATAGCCTACTGCATCATGATTATGTTATATGCAGCACACTGAAAAGGTAGATCAAGTCATCACTTTGTGCAGGATCTAATCATTATTGCAAAAAATGGGTCGTTAATCAGAGACTGTAGCGATCTATATGTGGAGGTATGGTGTGGACAAAGACCAGGAGAAATATGGGTTAATTTGATATGTAAATGATGATGTGATCAGTCTCCCCCTGCCACAAAGTGTGTCAAAGATGAGATGTGATGCAGGGGAACATAGTTCAGCCCTGATAGCATTACCTCCAACTGGTCTGAGCTCCTTTGGACCTTTAGTGTTGGCCATGCATGCCCCCTGTGTCAAAAAAAGGGTTGCATTTATTGGTCATAATGGCTAATTAAGATTTATAATACCATACCAAGCAACTGTACTGCTTGAAAATTGGATTTGTAAAGGCATGACCAAATAAAAGGTCGTTTTGTGAGGATGATGCACATTTTTCCCCAATTTGATAATCATTAACATTTGTGTTTGATAGCCTTTATATCATGTAAATATGGACTGTTTATTCAGTAATGTAAGAGTTTAGTTTAAAAACAGCTTTTATTCAAACAGCATGCTCTGTCTGTAAAAAGTAATATTTCAAATAAATACAGAAATAAATCTGACAAGTGTTTTGTGTTGTACGTCTGCCATAAGGTTTACAATGTCTAAAGATTAAAAATGTGTATCTATATAATTAGAAAACTGAGATCTTTTTCTAAAAATAATTGAGTCAGGTCATTTGAGTATAACCCTAGCCCCTCAATGAGTTGTTTCCCCTTATTATAAATGTAGAAATAAGTATATAACGATCTCATAAATCTGAAAACAATTAGAAATGACTTGCAGTGTTCTGTATAACATAAGGCGGCCACTCTGTGTGACACCACAACAACTGCTCATTTATTACACAGTTCAGTACATCTATTCCTATAGAAAACTACTAACGCTTAAACAGAAGATGTGAAAATTAAAGCACAGCTTTATTTTTTTTCCCAGTGTCTTTATTTGCAACTTTTCACAGTGGTTCTTCAAAAAGATTACATTGAAATTATTAAAAAAAAAACATCTCTTTACAGAGAGGCAACATAGATATTGTGTCTGGTCAGCAGAGCAATGTGTGTCTTAGGATGGAGACAGGGACCATTTTACTGGGTGATTTCACTGATCTTCTGCTTCACTTTTTCCAACTGCTGCTCCAACCAGGTCCTGAGGAGGATACAAAAAAAACGAGCGTTACGTGTGTGTGTGTGTGTGTGTGTGTGTGTGTGTGTGTGTGTGTGTGTGTGTGTGTGTGTGTGTGTGTGTGTGTGTGTGTGTGTGTGTGTGTGTGTGTGTGTGTGTGTGCAGTGTGTGTGTGAGATCGCGTGTGTGAGAGAGAGAGAGCGCGTGCGTGCGTGCGTGCGTGCTTACTGTGAGTTGGATACGATGTCGCTGTTCCTGATGACTTCTAAGGTTGCCTGGGCCTTGTCTGCCAGGTTCTTGCCCATCTCTCCGATCCCAGAGGCGGCCGCCTCCGCCTCCGCCTCCTGAGCCTCTGCAGGTTTGGAACAGAAACAGAACAAGTTACACAGCATGAACGGAAACGTAGCTTGGAGTTTACTTAAATTAACCCGAGACATACGTGTGAATGCGGCCAAAGCCAGCACCAGCATGGCAACTACGAGGTACAGTCTCATCTTGGCTGTGAATTTCTGAATGGGGTAAGAAAAAGACAGGCTACGGGTTATAAGAATTTCTTTTTTTTTTAAAGTGTAATGAGTCAAGGATACTAAATGACTAATTTCTTGTCTCAAAAAGCAGCGCATTCCCATCAGCACCACGGCGGCTGGATAGCTCCATTTACGTGCCGTTACGATGTAATGATTAACAACTACAAATACAATTATCCAGACTTAAGGTACAAAATTACACTTTTAACCATATTTACTCCGTGTAACACTCAGTCGTCAATATTAACAAACAAATCCCCTTAGGTATCAGCAAGGGTTTGCATAGAAACTTGAGGACGGTTTTTTAAAAGTGTTATCGTCCGTGTCCTGTAGTTTAGAAGCATGCAGCTATTTTTGTATGATTCTACCAGTGATGCAAATTAAATGTCAGACATACCTGTTGTTCTTCTCAGAGGAGGGAAAAAATTGTGTTATTGAGAGTCTATGTGAGTTCCTCTTTATAAGCCCGCTGCGCTGTTGGAGGGTGACGCAGAAACAACAGACTTCAGTCAACATGTACACGTGGAGACCTTGCGGTGCCACTGCCCCCTTTGTTGACCAGCAGCGTGCAATTGCATTAAAAGATAGATGACTGATTATAGCCTACTGCATCATGATTATGTTATATGCAGCACACTGAAAAGGTAGATCAAGTCATCACTTTGTGCAGGATCTAATCATTATTGCAAAAAATGGGTCGTTAATCAGAGACTGTAGCGATCTATATGTGGAGGTATGGTGTGGACAAAGACCAGGAGAAATATGGGTTAATTTGATATGTAAATGATGATGTGATCAGTCTCCCCCTGCCACAAAGTGTGTCAAAGATGAGATGTGATGCAGGGGAACATAGTTCAGCCCTGATAGCATTACCTCCAACTGGTCTGAGCTCCTTTGGACCTTTAGTGTTGGCCATGCATGCCCTCTGTGTCAAAAAAAGGGTTGCATTTATTGGTCATAATGGCTAATTAAGATTTATAATACCAAGCAACTGTACTGCTTGAAAATTGGATTTGTAAAGGCATGACCAAATAAAAGGTCGTTTTGTGAGGATGATGCACATCTGTTATGTATCAATTACATTTTTCTAAAACGTTTTTCACGTCTTGAATACCTTTGCATTACATAGTGGGATACTACACTTAAAACAATAATGATATATTGAACATTGCTTTAAACGTTGAGGGGGGAAATATCTCAATAGTGACAGTATACTTTAAAATCAGATAATTACAGTTCACAGTTAAAATGCAAAACAAATAAGTGAATTTGTACAAACATAAAATAGAAATAACATAAAAACTACTAGCATTGACAGAACCATTAATACAAATAAATAAATAAAATACATTGTGTACAGTGTAAAAATAAAATACAGAGTGCAAAATAGACGTGTGAATTAAAATAATATATATATAATAAAAATAAAAACGTGTAGCATTGACATTAATAATGAAAAGTGAAATTATGTGGTAACAATTTACAGTAAAAAGACAATAATGCATTTTTTTTTTTTTAAAGGGAGGTGGGGTAAGACAGATCTGTGTCACAATCCTAGTTTTCTGTCACATCTTAGTTGTCTGTCTTGTCATGATTTTATGTTGAAATTCTGTTCTCCCTGTGTCTTGTCTTCCTTCCTGTGTTTTCCCTCCTGTGTCTGATTGTCTGATTGTGTTCACCTGTTGCCCTTGTGTTTCTTCCTCCCCTGCCCAGCTGTGTCTTGTCCTGTGATTACCCCTCTTTGTATTTAGTCTTGTCTTCCCCTGTGTTCCTTGTCAGTTCATTTTCTTTCCTGTCTCCCTCCATGTTGGTCACGGTCAGTTTTTGCTTTGTTGCAACATGTGCTACCTGTTTGTTTCATGCCATGATTTGTTCATCAGCTTTTTTTTTTTAAATAAAGCTCGCTTTTTGTTCCTAGACCTTTTTACCTTTTTTGTATTCTGCATTTGGGTCCTACCTTTTTCCTCGAATCATAACAATCTGAGCCATTTGGAAGCTCCTTTGGACCTTTAGTGTTGGCCATGCATGCCCTCTGTGTCAATAAAAGGGTTGCATTTATTGGTCATAATGGCTAATTAAGATTTATAATACCATACCAAGCAACTGTACTGCTTGAAAATTGGATTTGTAAAGGCATGACCAAATAAAAGGTCGTTTTGTGAGGATGATGCACATTTTTCCCCAATTTGATAATCATTAACATTTGTGTTTGATAGCCTTTATATCATGTAAATATGGACTGTTTATTCAGTAATGTAAGAGTTTAGTTTAAAAACAGCTTTTATTCAAACAGCATGCTCTGTCTGTAGAAAGTAATATTTCAAATAAATACAGAAATAAATCTGACAAGTGTTTTGTGTTGTACGTCTGCCATAAGGTTTACAATGTCTAAAGATTAAAAATGTGTATCTATATAATTAGAAAACTGAGATCTTTTTCTAAAAATAATTGAGTCAGGTCATTTGAGTATAACCCTAGCCCCTCAATGAGTTGTTTCCCCTTATTATAAATGTAGACATAAGTATATAACGATCTCATAAATCTGAAAACAATTAGAAATGACTTGCAGTGTTCTGTATAACATAAGGCGGCCACTCTGTGTGACACCACAACAACTGCTCATTTATTACACAGTTCAGTACATCTATTCCTATAGAAAACTACTAACGCTTAAACAGAAGATGTGAAAATTAAAGCACAGCTTTATTTTTTTTCCCAGTGTCTTTATTTGCAACTTTTCACAGTGGTTCTTCAAAAAGATTACATTGAAATTATTAAAAAAAAAACATCTCTTTACAGAGAGGCAACATAGATATTGTGTCTGGTCAGCAGAGCAATGTGTGTCTTAGGATGGAGACAGGGACCATTTTACTGGGTGATTTCACTGATCTTCTGCTTCACTTTTTCCAACTGCTGCTCCAACCAGGTCCTGAGGAGGATACAAAAAAAACGAGCGTTACATGTGTGTGTGTGTGTGAGATCGCGTGTGTGAGAGAGAGAGAGCGTGTGTGTGTGTGCTTACTGTGAGCTGGCAACGAATTTGCTGTTTCTGATGTCTTTAAAGGTTGTCTGGGCCTTGTCTGCCAGGTTCTTGCCCAGCTCACCCATCTGGTTTGTGAACACAGCAAATTTCTCCTCCACGGTCGCCTGTGTGTGTGTGTGTGTGTGTGTGTGTGTGTGTGTGTGTGTGTGTGTGGTGTGTGTGTGTGTGTGTGTGTGTGTGTGTGTGTGTGTGTGTGTGTGTGTGTGTGTGTGTGTGTGTGTGTGTGTGTGTGTGTGTGTGTGTGTGTGTGTGTGTGTGTGTGTGTGTGTGTGTGTGTGTGTGTGTGTGGTGTGTGTGTGTGTGGTGTGTGTGTGTGTGTGTGTGTGTGTGTGTGTGTGTGTGCAGTGTGTGTGTGAGATCGAGCGTGTGTGTGAGAGAGAGAGAGCACGTGCGTGCATGCGTGCGTGCGTGCTTACTGTGAGTTGGATACGATGTCTGCCAGGTTCTTGCCCATCTCTCCGATCCCAGAGGCGGCCGCCTCCGCCTCCGCCTCCTGAGCCTCTGCAGGTTTGGAACAGAAACAGAACAAGTTACACAGCATGAACGGAAACGTAGCTTGGAGTTTACTTAAATTAATCCGAGACATACGTGTGAATGCGGCCAAAGCCAGCACCAGCATGGCAACTACGAGGTACAGTCTCATCTTGGCTGTGAATTTCTGAATGGGGGAAGAAAAAGACAGGCTACGGGTTATAAGAATTTCTTCTTTTTTTTAAAGTGTAATGAGTCAAGGATACTAAATGACTAATTTCTTGTCTCAAAAAGCAGCGCATTCCCATCAGCACCACGGCGGCTGGATAGCTCCATTTACGTGCCGTTACGATGTAATGATTAACAACTACAAATACAATTATCCAGACTTAAGGTACAAAATTACACTTTTAACCATATTTACTCCGTGTAACACTCAGTCGTCAATATTAACAAACAAATCCCCTTAGGTATCAGAAAGGGTTTGCATAGAAACTTGAGGACAGTTTTTTAAAAGTGTTATCGTCCGTGTCCTGTAGTTTAGAAGCATGCAGCTATTTTTGTTTGATTCTACCAGTGATGCAAATTAAATGTCAGACATACCTGTTGTTCGTCTCAGAGGAGGGAAACAATTGTGTTATTGAGAGTCTATGTGAGTTCCTCTTTATAAGCCCGCTGCGCTGTTGGAGGGTGACGCAGAAACAACAGACTTCAGTCACCATGTACACGTGGAGACCTTGCGGTGCCACTGCCCCCTTTGTTGACCAGTAGCGTGCAATTGCATTAAAAGATAGATGACTGATTATAGCCTACTGCATCATGATTATGTTATATGCAGCACACTGAAAAGGTAGATCAAGTCATCACTTTGTGCAGGATCTAATCATTATTGCAAAAAATGGGTGGTTAATCAGAGACTGTAGCGATCTATATGTGGAGGTATGGTGTGGACAAAGACCAGGAGAAATATGGGTTAATTTGATATGTAAATGATGATGTGATCAGTCTCCCCCTGCCACAAAGTGTGTCAAAGATGAGATGTGATGCAGGGGAACATAGTTCAGCCCTGATAGCATTACCTCCAACTGGTCTGAGCTCCTTTGGACCTTTAGTGTTGGCCATGCATGCCCTCTGTGTCAAAAAAAGGGTTGCATTTATTGGTCATAATGGCTAATTAAGATTTATAATACCAAGCAACTGTACTGCTTGAAAATTGGATTTGTAAAGGCATGACCAAATAAAAGGTCGTTTTGTGAGGATGATGCACATCTGTTATGTATCAATTACATTTTTCTAAAACGTTTTTCACGTCTTGAATACCTTTGCATTACATAGTGGGATACTACACTTAAAACAATAATGATATATTGAACATTGCTTTAAACGTTGAGGGGGGAAATATCTCAATAGTGACAGTATACTTTAAAATCAGATAATTACAGTTCACAGTTAAAATGCAAAACAAATAAGTGAATTTGTACAAACATAAAATAGAAATAACATAAAAACTACTAGCATTGACAGAACCATTAATACAAATAAATAAATAAAATACATTGTGTACAGTGTAAAAATAAAATACAGAGTGCAAAATAGACGTGTGAATTAAAATAATATATATATAATAAAAATAAAAACGTGTAGCATTGACATTAATAATGAAAAGTGAAATTATGTGGTAACAATTTACAGTAAAAAGACAATAATGCATTTTTTTTTTTTTTAAAGGGAGGTGGGGTAAGACAGATCTGTGTCACAATCCTAGTTTTCTGTCACATCTTAGTTGTCTGTCTTGTCATGATTTTATGTTGAAATTCTGTTCTCCCTGTGTCTTGTCTTCCTTCCTGTGTTTTCCCTCCTGTGTCTGATTGTCTGATTGTGTTCACCTGTTGCCCTTGTGTTTCTGCCTCCCCTGCCCAGCTGTGTCTTGTCCTGTGATTACCCCTCTTTGTATTTAGTCTTGTCTTCCCCTGTGTTCCTTGTCGGTTCATTTTCTTTCCTGTCTCCCTCCATGTTGGTCACGGTCAGTTTTTGCTTTGTTGCAACATGTGCTACCTGTTTGTTTCATGCCATGATTTGTTCATCAGCTTTTTTTTTTTAAATAAAGCTCGCTTTTTGTTCCTAGACCTTTTTACCTTTTTTGTATTCTACATTTGGGTCCTACCTTTTTCCTCGAATCGTAACAATCTGAGCCATTTGGAAGCTCCTTTGGACCTTTAGTGTTGGCCATGCATGCCCTCTGTGTCAATAAAAGGGTTGCATTTATTGGTCATAATGGCTAATTAAGATTTATAATACCATACCAAGCAACTGTACTGCTTGAAAATTGGATTTGTAAAGGCATGACCAAATAAAAGGTCGTTTTGTGAGGATGATGCACATTTTTCCCCAATTTGATAATCATTAACATTTGTGTTTGATAGCCTTTATATCATGTAAATATGGACTGTTTATTCAGTAATGTAAGAGTTTAGTTTAAAAACAGCTTTTATTCAAACAGCATGCTCTGTCTGTAAAAAGTAATATTTCAAATAAATACAGAAATAAATCTGACAAGTGTTTTGTGTTGTACGTCTGCCATAAGGTTTACAATGTCTAAAGATTAAAAATGTGTATTTATATAATTAGAAAACTGAGATCTTTTTCTAAAAATAATTGAGTCAGGTCATTTGAGTATAACCCTAGCCCCTCAATGAGTTGTTTCCCCTTATTATAAATGTAGACATAAGTATATAACGATCTCATAAATCTGAAAACAATTAGAAATGACTTGCAGTGTTCTGTATAACATAAGGCGGCCACTCTGTGTGACACCACAACAACTGCTCATTTATTACACAGTTCAGTACATCTATTCCTATAGAAAACTACTAACGCTTAAACAGAAGATGTGAAAATTAAAGCACAGCTTTATTTTTTTTCCCAGTGTTTTTATTGCAACTTTTCACAGTGGTTCTTCAAAAAGATTACATTGAAATTATAAAAAAAAAACATCTCTTTACAGAGAGGCAACATAGATATTGTGTCTGGTCAGTAGAGCAATGTGTGAAGAGGTCAGAGGTGAGGGGGTGGGGGTCTTAGGATGGCGATAGGGACCATTTTACTGGCTGATTTCACTGAACTTCTGCTTCATCTTTTCCAACTGCTGCTCGAACCAGCTCCTGAGGAGGATAACAAAAAAAAGAGCGTTACGTGTGTGTGTGTGTGTGTGTGTGTTTGTGCGTGAGATTGCGTGCGAGAGAGAGAGAGCGCGTGCGTGCTTACTGTGAGCTGGCAACGAATTCGCTGCTTCTGATTTCTTCAAAGGTTGTCTGGGCCTTGTCTGCCAGGTTCTTGCCCATCTCACCCATCTGGTTTGTGAACACAGCGAATTTCTCCTCCACGGTCGCCTCCGCCTCTGCCTCCTGAGCCTCTGCAGGTTTGGAACAGAAACAGAAAAAGTTACACAGCATGAACGGAAACGTAGCTTGGAGTTTACTTAAATTAACCCGAGACATACGTGTGAATGCGGCCAAAGCCAGCACCAGCATGGCAACTACGAGGTACAGTCTCATCTTGGCTGTGAATTTCTGAATGGGAGAAGAAAAAGACAGGCTACGGGTTATAAGAATTTCTTTTTTTTTTAAAGTGTAATGAGTCAAGGATACTAAATGACCCATTTCTTGTCTCAAAAAGCAGCGCATTCCCATCAGCACCACGGCGGCTGGATAGCTCCATTTACGTGCCGTTACGATGTAATGATTAACAACTACAAATACAATTATCCAGACTTAAGGTACAAAATTACACTTTTAACCATATTTACTCCGTGTAACACTCAGTCGTCAATATTAACAAACAAATCCCCTTAGGTATCAGCAAGGGTTTGCATAGAAACTTGAGGACAGTTTTTTAAAAGTGTTATCGTCCGTGTCCTGTAGTTTAGAAGCATGCAGCTATTTTTGTATGATTCTACCAGTGATGCAAATTAAATGTCAGACATACCTGTTGTTCGTCTCAGAGGAGGGAAAAAATGGTGTGTTTGAGAGTCTATGTGAGTTCCTCTTTATAAGCCCGCTGCGCTGTTGGAGGGTGACGCAGAAACAACAGACTTCAGTCAACATGTACACGTGGAGACCTTGCGGTGCCACTGCCCCCTTTGTTGACCAGCAGCGTGCAATTGCATTAAAAGATAGATGACTGATTATAGCCTACTGCATCATGATTATGTTATATGCAGCACACTGAAAAGGTAGATCAAGTCATCACTTTGTGCAGGATCTAATCATTATTGCAAACAATGGGTCGTTAATCAGAGATTGTAGCGATCTATATGTGGAGGTATGGTGTGGACAAAGACCAGGAGAAATATTGGTTAATTTCATATGTAAATGATGATGTGATCAGTCTCCCCCTGCCACAAAGTGTGTCAAAGATGAGATGTGATGCAGGGGAACATAGTTCAGCCCTGATAGCATTACCTCCAACTGGTCTGAGCTCCTTTGGACCTTTAGTGTTGGCCATGCATGCCCTCTGTGTCAAAAAAAGGGTTGCATTTATTGGTCATAATGGCTAATTAAGATTTATAATACCAAGCAACTGTACTGCTTGAAAATTGGATTTGTAAAGGCATGACCAAATAAAAGGTCGTTTTGTGAGGATGATGCACATCTGTTATGTATCAATTACATTTTTCTAAAACGTTTTTCACGTCTTGAATACCTTTGCATTACATAGTGGGATACTACACTTAAAACAATAATGATATATTGAACATTGCTTTAAACGTTGAGGGGGGAAATATCTCAATAGTGACAGTATACTTTAAAATATGATATGGTATTATCTGCTGATTAAACATCACTGATTTACTAAACATTTCTAAATAAGTGAATAGGGCAGAGGCCTCTGATCTGAAGCAGACTGCAACGTCCCATTGTGTTTTGGTGTGTTTTTCCATTTACTGCTCTACTGAAATAGTCCCTTGCCTAATTGATGTGTCTTTTATCCATAACCTTCCCTTTCTTAGAGGGGAAGTAAGTCTGACAAAGCCTCATGTGGTCTATCTTGCACGTTAGCATGCAATGGAAAACAGTACAGTCAGTTGAACTGCAGTAACCCCTCATTATGACTGTGACCTGAGATAGAGCCAGGAAGTCTGTGCGTGAGGTTTGAAGGCTTCATCACTGCTTAACATATCAGCTCTCACACCAAGTGGTCTGCTGCAAAGGGCCAAATGCCCATTTGTTGCTGATGACTTGGCCTATGAAGGCTATTGCTGTGGATGTAAAGCCAGTTAAATAAGCCTTCACTTGCCTCAACACCCACACATTACCTCTCCATCTTTTGTCATGAAGTGGCCAGTCGGTTTATGTATGAGCTTGTGCTTGCGTGCATTTAAGCTCCTCTTGAATAATTGCAGGAGACATAGGGCGTGAAAGTGCACGTCTTGCATGCTCCCAATTTGCAATAACAAGCTTACAAAAAGACTGTTTTTGTGTTTGGCCAAGTGTTCCTGTGGTGACTGATTGTGTGTGCCAGTTCTGAAGGGGAGGGACATGATGGGAAGAAGAGAGGGGGTTGTAATAGGAGGTAAAATCTCTGCATGTGGTGGTTTTGGAGGGGTTACTTGCAGTCACAGACAAGCTAACACCTGCTAGTTTGCTGGGACTTTTTTCTGTTGCAGGGCAGTACTCAGAGTGCAGCCTTCCTATAGGAGTAGACGGAGCAGAAGTGCTGAACGGGCAGAATGCTTGTGGTTTTCCTGTTTTTACCATCAGTGACTGATCGTTGCAACAATGGACAGTTTAATATAGAGTTTCGCTTGTCTGCTTTTTTCTAAATAAACACAGGTTCCTGAAAGGAGTGATATCATAGGAGACAAACACATAGTCATGGTGTTAGTCATTCTTTCACTTTGCATGCAATGCCCTTTAACACAGATAGAAAGGGTAAACATGTTTTCTTATAACACAAAGAGATCGTTTTGTAAATAATGAAAGCTTATATAACCAAATGTTGACCTTTCAGAGATATAACCCATGCACGTATTTGGTGTGTTTTGCATGTGTTTTAATTTTACAAATCGCCAAGAGATGTGTTAACAGCTCTTTCACTAACATACATCTCAGAAAGATGTGTGTTCTGCTCCCTAACTCAGAGGGAGTGTGTTTCTTTGTGAAAAGAAAACACAGCTGAATCTTCGTGCAGCACAAACTCAAGCAAAGGGTCAGACAAGAGGAGAGGAACAAGGGACAAATGGTGTCCTCTACTGGCCCCTGCTGAGGTTCATGAGCATAAGACTTTTTGAAAGTTTATATAGGAAAAGTGTGACCAACCTCAGTTTGGGTCAATGATGACCACGATAGGCAATAGTTGGTACACTTTCTGATAGGGACAGTTGCCTTTCTCAGGGGTTAGGTCATTTAACATATAAATAATGAACTAAATTGGCCTTTTTTAAAACAGCTGACAATGTGGAAACAGATAGGAAACATGGGGAAAAAGAGGGGTAAGACATGCATAAATGATCCTTTGTCAGAAACATTTTATTGATATGCATCTTACCCACTAGGCCACCTTGATGCACATGCTTGCAAAACACATACTGTACGCGCATGTTGGCACAAACAGTATCTGGCCCTGTTTGAATATCTCTTTTGGGCCAATCTGAGAAAACACATGTATAAAAAGTCACTAATGCATGGTTATAATTGTCTTGCACTAGTTTTTTGTGATTTATCTGTTCTATGTCCTATGTATATGTTGCACTGTTGGAGGAGCCTGTGACCTACGTTTTTCATTGCCATCTACACTGTATCTAATGTGCAAATGACAATAAAGCCTTGAAACTTGAAACTATATGTTAATATGAGCACAAACTAAAGTAGACATGATAGTGCAGCCTTTAAACGATACTATCAATGGCACAACATGTTCCCAAATACCGGTTTGGATGGAGAGAAAGGAACCTGGGATCAGATCTGAACAAGTCTGGACTTGCAGGGGTTGCTCTAATGGCAGGGCAAGAGAAGGGTGGAGAATTGGGGTAGCGTGCATGTGCAGAGAGAAGACTTTAAGATGTATTTCTTGTGGAGAATTTGATATAAGGCACCAATCAGCAAAGAAGTTAATCAGGTTGATAATCTTAGCACAACAGGGGTCCCTTTAAAACTGTATTAGGTTTTTATTTTTAAATAATCACCACTTTATTCAAACTGCTATACTGGTTAAATGTGTAATACTTATACAGTACATGTAATTTCAAGTTACTGAACCCTTGTCCTAATGATTGATTACTCTTTTATCAGAGAAGAACTCAATGGAAACAAAACACATTTTCTAAGTTCTTTATTTTCTCTCAGCACTGTTCAGCACACAGTGCACTTACAGTGAGCAGCATGGTGGGAACTACATCAGAGTAAAGAACGGACAGCGTTACACTCACTGATTATCAGAAAAGCATCAATTCATTTTTCATCCCACTTCTCTGTGAAGCACAACAACAAATACAGATAATACAGAAGGGCACTTTAGTGGTTCACTATCTTCTGATCATCATAACTCAGTGCATTATTTGAAATGAAAGACACGTGGGTGTGTATTTAGAGATGATACGGGTTAACGAAATGTACAAAACCTTGGGAGGACAGACAGAGCAGTTAAAAAAAATGAAGCATATAACAAAACTGTTATGAGTATTAATGGCAGTTATCGACCGGGGTGCTGGTGTTCAATGGTTAAGGGAGTTGATAAGATAAGAAGGGGTGACTATGCAGAAGAACTAACAGATGTGTATCTGCTGACTGTTCTGTATAGACAACCTCATCTTCCTTCATCTCTTCCACCCCCCTCACCCTGAACAAAAACACCCCAAAATGAAGATATGAACAGTAACTCTCAATTCCCCGCCTTCCTCCATCTTTGCCAGGGTATTAAGAAGTCTTTATGCAGAGGCCTCCTTGACCTTCCCCATGATGTTCTCAATCTGCTCACGGATCTGGGCGGCGTAGGGGGAGATCATCTCGGTCAGCTCGTCGATCTTGCTGTCCAGGGAGGTGCGCAGCTGCTGGGCGGTGTTCTCCAGCTGGGTTTTGATGCCCGCGGCCTGGGTCTCCAGCTGCTCGGTCAAGGTATCGGCCTGGCTCTTCAGGATGGTGGAGATGTCGCTCAGCTTCTTGCCTGCGACCTCGCTGGCCTGCTGGACGTAGGGCTCAACATTCTCCTTCACTGTCTCCAGGTTCTGGGAGGTGCGGGACTGGATCTCACCCATGTAGGTGGCGACGGTGCTTGGGTGGGGAAAGAAGAAGAAGAAAACATTTAGATTTCAAGAAAACAAAGACAAGAAATGGGTACGTTGGAGACCCTCCACCCTACTTACTTGCGGATCTCATCAGTGTCCTTGTTCAGGCGCTTCTTCAGCTTGTGGCTGTAGGAGCTGATGCGACCGCGAACGTCATCTGTGTTCTGCACCATCATGGTCTTCAGCTCGCCCAGGTACTCAGTGCTGCGCTCCTTGGCGTCCAGCATGTCCTTCTGGAGCTTGTTGGTCAGCAGCTGCAGATCCTCAGACATCTGGCCGGTGGAGCTTTCGGTGAAGGGAGCAAGTTTGGACTGGATGCTTTCTCTGTATACGGTCAACTCTGCCATGCTGTCTGAGATCAGAGTGCTGGATGGACAAGAAATTACAAATTAGGATTGGAGGCATAGGATGAGGTTACAGAGATGTATGAACAAGTAAGGAATTTAACTGAGAGGATTTGAAGTTTCAACAAAATATAAATGATTATGGTCCACTTACTCTAGCTCCCTGCTGAGCTGGGAGACCTTGATGTCCTGCACGACTCCATCAGCTTTCTCGTTCAGGTCAGAGACATACTGCCAGAAACGATCCACAGTTTCTTCCCAGTTTTGTGGGGTGGCATCAGCCTGGCGCACAACACGGGCATTGCAGCCTAATTTGAACAAAGGTGACAGGTTAGATAAATATACAACCATACAAAAACATTTTTAAATACTGGACCAGAGTTGCACATACCGGCGATGACTGCCAGAGCGAAGATCAGAGCTACAGCCTTCATGGTTGTTGGACAGATAGATACACCTA